GAAAGAACCGGACGACGTCATAATTATTTAAAAAATTAAATAAAAATACCAAAAATATTTAATAAAAAATAATTTTTTATATCACAAGTCATAACTATATAAGTTAAAATCATAAAATCAAGTGAAACAAAATGATTCAAATTAACTACAACATATTTAAGGTAAAACATATTAATAATAAATATAATTATAACTATAATTAAAAAAAAATTTGGGGTTAAAAATCATAACAAAATTATATAACTATAATTATAACTATTCTTTCACTCTTATTAAGCTCGAATTTTAGGCTTCAATCGATCTTATAATTTTTTTTTGAGTTCAAGCCTTTTTGAGTTCAAGTTTCAATATTATATTTCGAGTTTGAGTTGAACTTGATAATTTTTAGCTTGTGAGTTTGAGTTGAGTTGAGCTTACTTTTAAAGTTTTCAAGTTCGAGTCGAGCTCAGCAATACTCGAGTTCGACTTGGCTCGTTTAACAAACGACATTGTTTGGTTTAATTTTTTTTTAAAAAAAACAAAAATCCCGGTTTTTCCCGGTTTTCAACCGGTCCGGTTCGAACGGTTAAGCGGTTCTGGCCGGTCACTATAGCGGTTCTGGCCAGTTCACTAATAGCGGTTCACCGGTTTAGATTGAACGGACTAAGCAACGGTTCCCGGTTGAACCGGCCGGTCCAGTTTTCAAAACAGAGCCGATAATCTTACATTACCAATAGTGAATTTTTTGGGGTATATTACCGAGAATGTCATTACCTCACTTTTCTTAGGTATTGTTGGATTACTTGCGTTTTGGACTAAAATGCCCTTTAAAATTTTTTTCTTTCAAAAATATCATTATTATGTATTGAATAATAAAAATTCTATGAAGGTTAAATTACAAATTTATCCTTAAACTATTTTAAATTTATAAAAAAAGTCTATAATTAAAATTTTATATGAAGTTTAGGGGTTAAACCAAAATTTTACCCTTTCATTTAACCTTTTTATATTTTCAATTTTGTAAAAAATATATATAAATTTTATGAATTTAAATTTATTTTAAAGAAAATATATAAATATTTTTCAACTTGTTAAAAAAACAAATATATAATAAAGACAATTTGGTCAAATATACATTTCAATAATCTTTTATTCCTTTAACCAAATACAATAATCTTACATTCCTGCTAAACCAACCAAACACAAAATACAACATTCTTAGTAATCCTTATTCCCTGGTAATCTTTTATTCCCACTGATAATCTTACATTCCGTGAACCAAACGCACCCTAAAAACATATTTCTAAACCCATGCAATCCAAATAGAATCCTCATTCAGCAGTAGCCTACGAATCAAAGACAGAGCATGCTTTGTTCCAAACTTTCAAATTATGTAAACCCAGACCTCCCTCAGGTTTTGGGAGTACATATCTTTGTCCAACTAACTCTCAACTCCTTTGATAGATTCTTCTTTCCCTTTCCAGGTAAACCTGGAACACAGTTGGTTAACACGCTGAATCACGGCATCAGGGAGGGTAAGCTACCTGCTGCTCCATAAGTGTTGCATGTTATAAGAACATATTGAATGAGCTGCCACCTACCAACATAGAAAAGTTGCTTAGCTTTCCAAGCATGAAACTTAGCGGAGATCTTATTCAGAAGAGGGGCGTATTCCACAACTGAAAGCCTCTTGACAATTAGGGGAATGTCAAGATAACGAACAGGTAATGTGCCAAGCTTGATTCCCAAAACTCTGTAAAGCATGCAGATCCGAGGTAGTCATGCATGTAAAGAACATTTCAAACTTCGAAGGATTAATCTAAAGACTAGAGAAGCTGAAGAAAGTCCTCATAACACTCCATAAACCCATAACAGACTCAACAGATGTACGAGTGAAAACCATCAAATCATTTGCAAAGTAGAGAATTATAAGATGAAGACGATGACATTTTAGATGGTAGGAAAATATACCATACTCTGCTACGGTATCAAATAACCGGGATAAAATATTCATTGACGAGACAAACAGATAGGGGGAGAGAAAATCCCTGTTTGAAGCCTTTAATACCACAGAAAACACCTACTAAACCAGCCAGCAGAGCACTCAAGAGAGATTGAGAATTTTAGGGTAGAAATATACTCCTTTATCAATCTATAAATAATTTATTATAATTATGTCTTGCTAAAAAAAATTAAGTTTATAAATTATAAAAAAAACACATCATATGATATACTAAAGAAATTTGTAATTTGGCTTAAAAAACATTTTTCAAATGTAAAGAGCTAAAAATTTCAATTTTTGTGTTTGGGTTGAAAAGCTATTTTTAAACGCACTTTTAAAATTTATTTAATATTGTTTATAGCTCCAAAAGTACTTTTAGTCTCAAAAGTGCTTTTGGAAAACAACGGTGAACATAGCTAAATTATTTTCGTAACCGATTTTCGTCCGGTACGACGTTTCTTGAAAAAAAATAAGTAAATAAATTGTTTTCAATGAAATATTTTAAAATCGACATTGATCTTTTTAGATTAAGTTGGTCGAACAACTAAAACCGCATTTTAAAAGATTTTTTTTTTAAAAAACATCATTTTAAAAGATAAATCAATCTACGTATAACCATAAATTCATTCTTTTTAGTAATAAAAAAAGATTTGGGGTCGATTATACTTGAGAAAGGATAAACACCCTCACAACACCCAAAATTGGTAATTATAAAATTATCTCTAATAGTGAAAATCTAAAAATTCGAATATAAATTTAAGTTATAATCTTATTATTCTAAATTCAACTAATAGAATTTTTATTTAATAAAAAGTCTAATGAGAAACAAAAAAATATTCCAATATTTTCAATTAAAGAGAAAATAATCTATAAAATATCTTAAGACGAATATTTCTCTTTCCAACTGAAATGAAAAGAATACAATATTTTTCCCAAGAACTCAATATTAAAATAATTTGATTTGACAAAAAAATAAAAACGTAACTAAAGTAGACATGAATAAACATATTTTATAGCTTTAATAAAATAAAATCATAAACAACATAAGGATCAAAAAACAAAGATGGCAAAATAAGGCCTTCAATGTGATAAAATGTGAAACATGCATATATATATATATATATATATATATATATATATATATATATATATATATATATATAGATTAAAATAAAATAAACAGAGAATAAAATGCACTAAACAAAAGACTAAAATACTGAAAAATGAAAGAGAAAAAAAATAAAAGACAAAAAATTAAAATAATTAATTAAAGGACTGAATTAAACTAAATTAAAAGGTAAATCAAATAAATTAAAGTCAATTAATAGACATAAGATGACCAAATTAAAACTAATTATAAAATGCATAGCTAAAATCAAAGAATAAGTACAGTGACCTAATTAAAATAAAAATAAAATTTATAGTCCAAAATAACAATAAATTTTTTTTGGCTGTCACTTTTTCCCATATGTATGGGATAAGGAAAGATAAGATAGTAGGCTACCCCAACATCAGGTTAAGAGCAGCTTTCGTAAGAGACATCCGAATTATAAAATGCCCTCCGTGAGACTCGATCTCACGGCCTATTAAGAACATTGCACTCTATCAACTGAACTGGATGATCATTTTCCAAAATAACAATAAATAAAGCTGAAAATTAAAGGATTAAAACATAATAAAATATAAAAATAGAGAACAAATTATAAATAAAACAGTGACTAAAACATAAAAATACAAATATCACATCAAAATCATAATAAAATAATAACAGAACACAAGAAGTGACTGAAAATGAATAAATGTAAAAAGAAGTAACTAATTTCAAATAAAAAACATAATTTAATTATTAAATTAAAAATAAGTAAAATATAGAGTTCAAAATAAAAATAAATGCACCTAGTGACCATAATATGAAAACACGCCTAGAATAGGGGGACTTATGGGTGATTTGACCCTAAATATAATGACTTAAACGTTAAGCGTGGGAAAGAAAGCCAAAACTTTAATATCTAACCTAAATATATTAAAGTAAAAAAAAAAACTAAAATTAAACTAACTTAAACTAAACGCCCATCCCGCCTTTCTCTCCTCATTCTCTTCCTCTCCATATGCGGCGGCACTCAACAAAGACCCCATGGCCGAACCTCGCCGGTCACAGCGACGGTGACCGTTCCCCCCGATCGGCGCCACAAGTGGGCGAAAGAATCTACTCTAAGGTAAGACTCTACCCTCATCTCTTGCCTATGCTTCGACCGAGAGCCACACGTTCCAACGCTCCATTTCCGACTAATGGCGCTGCCGCTCACTTCGGCCACCAGGTGGCAGAACTCTCCTAAGACCGGCCTAAAGACTTAACTCTCCTTCACCTCTGTTCTAGCATCTAACCCCACAAAGCCATATACGAGCCTCGTAAACACCCAAGGTAAATGATCCCTCCGTTTTTTTTTCTTATAACTATTTACAATTATGAAAATAAAAATCTAAATTAGCTGTTGTTGTTTTCTGATTTGTTGATGGGGATGCTAGGAATTGGTCGGTACTCGGGAGGCCACGGGTGGAGCTGCCAGAAGTTACTGGAACGTGGAGGGACAGCTGGAGAGCTTGCTGGTGTTGAAGCTGCTGAAACGTGTACGTGGAGCAAGGGAGGCCATGGGTGGAGTTGGGCTGCTGGCAGCTGCTGTATGGAGCGGGGAACCAGCTGTTGTTAATGGAAGCTACTGGAACGTTGCTGTGGTGGAGGGACAGCTGGTTTTGAAGTGCTGGCAGCTGCTGGAGGGATTAATATGGACTAAAATAAAATTTAGGGACTACATTGAAAAAATATCAAATTGGGTACAAAATTAATGTTGTTTAAACTGGCTTTTGCTTAAACGCTCTGAAATAAAGGTGATAAAAAACTGAAGTGTTAAAAACCATAACAATTAATGGTGTAATTATGTTAAAAAACGAGAGATTTTGATGTTCTTCACCATAAATACCACTGTAGAGCCATTTCTCCTTCAACAATTGGTGTTGCAAATGCAAAGAAATCACAGTTCAAAAATGGAGGTTCAAATCGAAACACGAAAGCTAATAAAGCCATCGTCCCCAACACCGACTCACCTCAGAGAATTAAAGCTATCAAGCTTCGATCAAATCGCTCCTTCCACTCACGGCAGCTTCATTTTCTTTTTTCCAGCTAATAAAAATGAAGCACTCATCAATGGCCAAACACTAGAAAAGCTCGAAACTTCACTCTCGGAAGTATTAACCAAGCTTTACCCTTTCGCCGGTAGGCTCGTCGAGGACCGGAACGCCATCGACTGCGATGATCAAGGCGTCGAGTATTTAGAAGCTCGGGTTTATAATGTGGAGCTAAACCAATTCATCATGGATGAACTCGAGGCTAAATGGGTGAACCGATTGGCTCCTTACCCGAACGAGCTCGTTTTTACAACTAATATACTGGCTGTTCAAGTCAACAAATTCGACTCCGGTGGTTTGGCCGTCGGAGTGAGTTTGTCCCATAAGTTTGCCGATGCCTTCACTATTTTTAATTTCGTGAACGCATGGGCACCTGTTGTCGAATCGGCATTGATGCGGTAAAGTGTTTGAGCTTCGAGACCGCATCGGTTTTGCCTGCGGCGATGTTTTCGGTAACGCATAAAGTCCCGGTCCCCGAAGATAACTCGGAAACTCTGATTACAAAGAGGTTCATTTTCAGCTCATCCGCCATGTCTACTCTGAAAGCAAGGGCGGCTCCTTTCGTAGCCGATAGCTCACGGCTCTCCAGGGCGCAAATCTTGATCGCCCTCGCATGGAAAGCTCGGCTCGCATTATCGAAAACGAAACACGGATCATTAAGGGATTCATTACAAATCTTCCCCTTCAATTTCCGTGGGAAAACAGGGTTGCCAATACCAACAAATGCAGCAGGCAACCTATTCAGGAACGTCACTGTTCGATTCACAGCAAACGATTACCATAACCCCGATCTGCTCCTACACTTAGTGAATCTAGTCGGAATCGAAATCCGAAACGCTGCCGAATCCCTTGCGAGAGCTGAGAACGCCGATGCTTTGTTCTCGGCCGCGAAGGATTCATCGAGGGTGATCCATGAAGAACTGGTTAAAGGGAACACGGATATTTGTCTGTTGACGAGTTGCTGCAGGTTTCCGTATTATGAAGCTGATTTTTGGTTGGGGGAAGCCCGGTTGGATAGCGAGTGCTCACAAGGCTATGGAGATGGTATTGTTGTTGGATAGTGGGTTGGATGATGGTGCGATTGAAGCATGGGTCACGTTGGAACCGGAGAACATGGCTCGGTTCGAGCAAGATGCTGACATTTTGGCTTATAGTTGCAAGCCTTCTGAGTACTTCACTCGAGGGAATTGAGAAATCAAATTAAAAGAACTTAAGGCCACTAGAGGTACTAGTACTGTTACAATTATTTTATACACTGATGTTGAAAAAACTATTATACAAACAATATTACATGATTGTTTACATGTGACGTTTCATTTAATTATATTTAAAAATATTAAAATTTAATTTAACGTTGGATTGAATAGTCACAATTTTTTTTATTACAAACTTTTTCCATGGGACAGCCACAAAACGACACAACTAATCGATTGAGAGATTCCCTGAAAAGCTCGTCGAGCATTATTTAGTATCCATCGGGTCATGCCAACTATCTTGGAGGAATTGGAGCATTAGCATACATTTGCTTTTGAAAGTATTTCAATCTTTATCGTTTCGTGGTCGGATAAAATTTGTTAGTTGACTAACGGTTAAATCCTGTGTCCAAAAGAATAACATGATACATGTTATGTATCCAACATGATACATGTCATTTATTCAAAATGACGACGTATCATGTGTCACGTGTTCAAAATAACGACATGACACATATACGTGTCTGAAATGATATCATTATACATGTTGCATGTCATATGTCTAAAGTGATTATATAAAAAATATCACATCAATCTTTTGGACACATAAGACTTGTCACGTCAGTAATAAGCATTGATCTTTAGTCATCTAACGATAATTGATAAATTAAAATGTTGAAAAATAAGATGATAAGATATTGTTATGAGATAGGAATAAAACCACAATGAAATACGTAAACATACGATTAACACTAATTCTGAAATTAGTTAATATAGCCATTGATTTCAACACAGATTTGTGTGAAAAGAAACCGGCGATGAAGATGTTCACAAGAATTCGGTATGGTTCCTATACAAGCCGCAAAATCGGCTTGAATGGGCCGCTTCATCCTTATAAATCCACCACATCGGAGAAGAACTCTGCGAGCAAGCTGCTACACGTACGGTTTACCTGTGAGCAACCGAGGCCTGCGATTCATCAGCAACAGCATAGGGATGGGGAGAAAACTGGATACTGAAATGTTTGTCTTATGATAATCATCTTGAAAATTTGATTTTAGCACTGATATTTACCAGTTTTTTAAGAGAAATTCATTGTGTTTAACTGTAGTTCTGAAATGGGAGAGATGGGGAAAGATCATAGCCCACGGGGTGCTGGTTCAGAATGTCCTCCCAAATTCAACTTCTCCCTCTGGTATAAAATTCGTTCAGTTTTTAGTTTTTGGTCAATTATGGTTTTGGTCCCTTCATTATGCTTTTTTGGCATTGTTTCATTAGTTTGTCCTTATAATCTCCATTTCCCATGCATGGTAGGGCAAGATGCCTTTTGGGGTCTGTGTTGGGTTTCTTCTTGCCATTCTGGAAGGCAAAATTGGCAAATTTGGAGAGGATTGAAGGTATTCATTTTGTCAAAAACTCACTAACAATCGTTTCTCGTTACAGAAAGACCTTTGAAAAAACATATAATACAGTGATTATCTATTTGCAGGAGAAGCAGAGATGGTGGTGGAGGTCGCGGAGAATGTGGCGGAAGTGGTGGAAAAGGTAGCCACGGTGGCGAAAAAGTTTCCCGATGATAGCAAGCTGAAAAAGGCAGCCATGGTGGCGGAACATGTTTCCGAAATAGCTGCCCAAGAAGCTCATTTCACAACACAATTCATTCACCAGGTAATCAATTTTTCTGGGTTATCTGCTTATTAGGTCTCTGTAGGTCTTGAAGTTAATTCAAATAAGTCGCCCCCCAAAATCTTCTGATTTAATTACATATTAGGTCCTTATTTGTTTTGAAACTAGTAAAATTAATTCTTGACCCCCATTTTTAAAAAATATTTCTTAAGCCCCTATAAATTTTGGGATTAGATAAATTAAGCTTCATCTCCAGTTCTTTTAGTTTAAATACTTTAAGTCCCTATTAATTTTAAAGTTAGACAATTTTACCTAAATGTTTTTTATTTATGAAATTATTGGTCTTTGTGGGTAAAATGCATAGGTTGGGGAAATAAAGCATGACCTAGATGGCTTGGAGGCATTGGTTTAACCAATTGGTGAAGATTCTTGAGTACATTGCTTTTCTTTGTATCGTGTAAATATTAGTACAAAGTTATTAAATTTATCTTTATTTACTACAATATTTTTACCTTTATTCAATTCGTTAGTTGGCAATAAGAATAAAAAGTTTAATCAGACTTAATATTTATTCATGATATAGTCCTTGAATTATTATTGTTTTCTTATTTTGGTACCTAATTTTGTTTGTAATTTGTTTTTGGTACTTAAATTATACTTCCGGTCTAGTATATCAATACACTAATGACCTTAAAAAGTGACGATCCTAGCTGAACTTATCATGTGACCTTAGTATAAGATAATGTTATTCTTCTTAGAGATTTTAAATTCGAACGATTGTGTCTATGAGATTTTAAATTCAAAACTAATAATTCCGAAAAAAAAAGAAAAAAATCATAATTCATATATTTAACATTATATGAAGAATCAAATCTAAAAAAGAAGAGAGAAAGTACATATATTAAAATTTATTATACTTATATATTCTTCATTGACGGGAAGAGGATATCTAAATCTCTACAGTGCCATAATGGCCATCAACAGTCCAACCACGACAGATCCAGCAGCACCAAACCTACTATTCAAGTTCAAAACGGCACCGTTCTCTGCAGGCCCCGGAGCTCCGACAGGAGGTTCGGAAATCGAGGAAGGACTGGCTTCCGGAGAGAGAGGAGTTGATGGAGGTGACTCAATAGCTGCTGGAGACGGTGTCATTGCAGCCGGAGTCTTCGGTGGAGACGGCACGGATGTTTTTGGTGGTGAAGAGAGTGGCGTCGGAGTGGACGGCGGAGATTTCTTCGGCGAGGACGCGGGTGATTGCGTCGGAGATTGCGCTGTAACGGAGCAAAAAAGCAATACGACTGTGATTGAAGAGAGAAAATGAGAAAGAGCCATTGCCGTTATAAAAATATGCGAAAAGGGATTTAACAATTGAAACGGCGTTTGTTCATGTACGAGGAAGAGAAGGATGGGCTTATATAGAGATGAGAATTGTTAATGGCCGTTGGTTTGATTGTTGCACGCATCTCTATAAAATCCGACGTACGACATTTGCTTCAGCTTTTGCTGATTGGTACTTGACTCTCCTTTTACTTTGAATTTGCGCTTTTTGTAACAACTATAAAGCGTGGTCTTCCTTTGCATCCTGGCCGTTTATGTGGATAATTGAGATGATATCTGAACCGTTTACTAAATAATTTGCAACGGTCAGGAACATGAAAGATTTAACGGCTTAGGATTAGTTGTCAATTTGAGTGATTTACGGACTACGTGTGGGACCACTTACCTGGAACTTGAATTTTCCTTTTTTTTGAATTTATATTTGATGAGTCATTTCTGATGAATCAATTATTTATACCTTTTTTAGGTTCCTTTTTTGTTTAACCGTATCCGAATTATATATAATCTTGATCCAAGATTATAAGATCTCATTTATAGAGCTATTCTAATCCAATTAGGAATATCAATCTAACTCATATATGATGAATATTGATTCAATTAAACCTAGTAAAATTAGTTTTAAAAAGGGTCACGATCTAATTATATAATATTTTTTTAATTTTATATGTTTTTTAGGATCGTTGGATGAAAGAAAATCAAAGACTGAGATCAACAGTACGAAATGTGAAGATATTCATCAGGAAAAAAACAATGAGTTAATCTTAACCTTTGATTTTTGATTTTCCCTTCTCTAACGATCCAAACAAGTAGTTTTACACTAAATATAAATAGATCCTAACTCATTTAAAAACAATTGTTATAATATCATCTCTTTATATTTTTTAATTAGATTATATTTTACGAAATAAAAATATTTTTTCTATATTTATATCGAATTAGGTCAGACGTGAATTTTATTTCAAAATCCAAATTAAGTTTTGTATGAAATAAAAATTTTCTAAACTCATGCCATATCAATTTAGGTGAAAGCTATATGCTTCTCGGATTGGATTATATTGATAGAAAACTTGATCCAACCTAATCATTACCAGCCCTAAATTCAATTTACCCTGTTCACAACACTAAAATTTAGATCATAACCTTACTCGTTTTTATACTTTTTTTTTATTTCCAGTTCTTCTCATGTTCCTATTATACTTTAAAAAAGTGACAAGAATTAATCAGAACATGCTACGCGTAATAAAATGTTTCTTTATATAAAATCGAACTAGAACAATAACAAATGAGAGACATGATTTAGAAGGTCAAACAATTCCAGGTTCATGAAATGAACTTTGTTTTGTCCTAGTTTTTCATGTTATAGAAAAAATAATGAATGGCAATGGCTCTTCCTTCTCTATAGGAAAGAGCATAATAGTTTCAGAGATTATGTTTCTTCCAATTATTATGTCGATTTGTAGTTAAGGCGCTTCATGTCGTTGAGTTACCTGTGTCTAAAAGGAAGGCGGAGGCGGCGGAGCCTAAGATTCAGATGCAGCATCCACTGGAGTAACCGTATTACCATTGCCGCTGATAATGAGACTGTTCAAACTGCCGTTAAAGTCTAAGCCATATACGTGACCCATTTTGGCTCGTTTCGTCTCCAAGTATCTCTTATTCTCCTTTGTAATAGGGGTCACCAGTGGAACCCTGCTGCCGATGGCTAATCCGTAACCCTTGAGTCCACTGTACTTGGCTGGATTATTGGTCATCAGTTTCATTGTTCGCACGCCGAGATCCCTAAGTATCTGCCAAAGAGGAAACCGGTTTTTAGGTTTCACAAACTTCACCGAGAGGGAAGAATTAAGTAATATCCATCGTAACAAAGCGACTTAATTACGCCAGACATATACCTGAGCGCCAATGCCATATTCTCTAGAATCAACAGGCAACCCAAGCTCCTCGTTTGCTTCTACTGTATCACGACCAGCGTCCTGCAGATCATATGCACGGAGCTTGTGGCCTAAACCGATTCCCCTGCCTTCATGCCCTCGAAGGTATACCAAAACACCCCTTCCAGCAGCCTCAATCTTTTTCATTGCAAGGCCAAGCTGATTCCCACAGTCACATCTAGCGGATCCAAATATGTCTCCCGTGAGGCATTCCGAGTGAACCCTCACAAGAATATCTTGCCCATCTCCAATCTCACCCTGTTTACACCATAAAAAGGAATCATGCCATATTCTTCCTAATGAAAGGCTTTTGGTCTAAGAAAACCAAACGTCGAAAGGAATATATAGACTGGTGAATGGTGAAACTTATGGAAATAGAACAGAAAGTGAGACGAAAACAGATTAAAACATTTCTGACTTGATTAAGCACATTAAAAGTAATCATATAGGATTCATACCGATAATATAAGAATTCCTTTACTATATCCTCACCTTAACCATGGCTATATGCTCAATCCCATCCAATATTGACTTGTAACAATAGGCCGTGAATGGCCCCCACATAGTTGGTATCCGTGCCACACCAGCAAGATCAGTTAATTTATCCCTCTTTCTCCTATACCTGTCAATCAAAGCAGAGCATTAGAAGTAGTTATTTCCTTTATTGTTCTTAAAAGAACTCAAATTACAATTGATAATATTGCTTTGGCAAGAATTCAACTGTGCAAGTTAACTGTAGGATGTTTGAAAGATTAAGTAGAAAGCAAAGCACTGGATGTGAAATTTATTTACCTGATTAAATCAGCAATGGATACGATTTTCAAGTTTTCCCTCTCAGCAAATTGACGAAGCTTTGGTAATCTAGCCATGGACCCATCATCATCTACAACCTCGCAGAGAACGGCAACAGGGTCCAGTCCAGCTAGCACTGCAAGATCAACAGAAGCTTCAGTATGCCCAGCTCTTTTCAGGACACCTCCTTCCCTGTACTTCAGTGGGAAAATGTGACCCGGGCGATTGAAATCCTCAGGTTTGGAATCTCTAGAAGCAAGGGCCAATACTGTTGTTGCTCTATCTTGAGCTGATACACCAGTTGTAGTACCATGTTTTGCATCCTGCAAAATTGGTTTTCATGCAGCAGATAAGTTGAGAACCATTGGAATTGTTCAACTCGATAGTATACAAGTCATCTTTTTGGAACTAAAAGACAAAGACCAACTAACCGTTAACATACTTTGTTTAAATTATCATAGAAGATATTTAAAAAATTGTTTTTTAAGATTATCACACGTTAATAGGCAAGAAGTTCACCATATCCCCAACTCCAAGTTAGAATCATCAATACGAACATTTTTCCATATAAATTATATTTCCTAAAGAACAAGAAATTACCCATGTATCAGATATGGATGTGAGACAAATTAACATACCACTGTAATTGTGAATGCAGTGCGGAGTTTCTCTTCATTTTCTCTTTGGTTCACCATCAAAGGAAGTTGCAGTCTCTCCAGATCTTCCTCTAGCATGCTCACACAAACTATCCCAGTTCCATGCTTCACAATAAAGGCCATAGCCTCGGGTGTTGCCAACTCGGCGGCCATTATAAGATCTCCCTCATTTTCTCGGTCCTCATCATCTACAACCAATACCATCTGCAACATGTATTCAGATTAGTAAAGAAAATGGCTAATATGCAGAAAAGTAAAATATAAGCACTAATACCAGCACAGGGAATAAGAAGCCAATGAAAAACAGACCTTGCCCTGGCGAATGTCCTCAATTGCCTCAGGGATGGAAGCAAAACCTTCAGTGGGACGATCCAAATCAAAACCATCATTATCAATGGGAAAACCATTACTTATGGGAGCAGTATCTGCTGCAAGAGTTCCAAATGCCATTGCATCTTCTTGAGCTTTGATCCCTACTGATTTATCACGGAAGAGACTGCCATTTGTTGAAGCATCCGTGCCATTGGAATAAGACAGAACGTTGCCTTCTCCAGATACAAGTGCAGCTCTAGTTTTGACGCCACTTTTAATAACAAAGGATGATCCATTAAAGAATAGATTTGTGCTGGGTAATCCATTAAGGAATTTGGAACTTTTGGATCCCCTGTATAGAAATAAAGGTCACTAAGAATTTCATACAATCCAATTGTGCTGAAAATAGTAAAGATTGTAATACAACATTGAAAGGGCATTAAGTATCTTTTCTTAGAACAAACTCTGATAACTTTAGGAAGAAATCGAGTTGACTTAGAACCCTCTAAACGCATCCAAAAAAGATACCATAGAAATAGTATGTAGATATAATTGTAATGATCTGAAAATTGCTTACCAAATTAATCAAATGCAAAATTGCAACAGAAACAAACAAGCGTTGTGTGGTAATGTATTTATCCACTGCTATATTAAGCTTTAGCACAGAACCAACTCGCATAAACACCGAAACAGGCAAAGCACAACATGGTGCACTAGTATATACCTAATTCTAAGGTATAAGATCTAGATTCCACATTAGACTAACACATTCCTAATTGTAAATATAGAACTACGATCTTACATTATAAAGTATGGTATTTGCTAATAAATTCAAATGGAACTAGGCTCTATTAACCTAACAGTTAAATTTTGGGTGTTTCTCCAAATTTCCCTATCACCGACTGTCGGAAACCTTGGGTTGTTTAAAATAAAAGTCAAATTCCCCAAATCAAGATAAACACAGTGTCTGTATAAGATCGAAACCGGAACAATTAACCATAAAAACTTGAAAATTGATTAGAAAACCGAACAATAGAAAGAAACGATGATGGAGCAAAAGAAATGCCAAAGAAAAAACACATGAGAAATCTCAGTTAAATGAAAGGATTAATACATGAAAACAAAGGGGTAAAAAATTTAGATTCAAAGAAATAAAGAATGAGAGGAAGATAGCTTACTGAAGACGAGAGAGAGCTGCAGTTGAAGGAGAAGAAACGTTGAAAGAAGCCATTAGCAGCCGAGAAAGACGCTAAAATTTTAATGGAATATTGCGATTCTAAAATTTTTTGTTCTTTTTTGCTCCATTTTTATGTCTATATTTATAAGATCCGATGGGAAGGAAGCGAAATGGAAGAAGGCAAGGAATTCACGAAGAAGCGGCGGCGAATGGAAGTTGTTTATCAGTTACCCGCAGGTGAGCTAGCAGGTTGACAGTTTTTTTTAAATTATCCACGACACCAATTTAATTAAAATCTTAAAATAATATAGATAAATAAAAAATGCATTACACATATTAATTTATCTTTACTGTTCTAAAAATAATATTTTTAAAATTAAATTGTAAAAGTTATAAAAATGTAATCAAATACCTAAATTATCACGATATTAAAAATTTTAAGATTTTATTTTTCTATCATGATATTTTAAACTATGATAAATGAATTTTATTAATATTTAAATTTATATTTTATTTCTACGTAATTAAACAATTAACTTTAAATTAAAATATTAAATTTTGAATTCAATTTAATATAATTTTTAGAATAAATCAAGAATTAAAAATAGTTTAAATAATAAAATGATAATGAAAAATAGTTTAAATAGTCAAATAAGTTAAAATTTTGAATAGAAATGAAGAAACGAGTATAGAAAGGTTGAAATTAAATTAATTTGACTAATCTAAATTAGATATTACAAATGTCTATTATGAGGACGATATTTTTAATTTATTATGAGACGAGACATTAGATGTCGTAAACACGATCAATTATTTAAAATTTAATGTTGTGAATGTTGTGAATTGGGTTGAGAAGATTAATGCCATAATAATAGATTAACACATAATTTTATAATAGAGGATAAACTTATAAAATTTTATCGAGTTCGAAAACATACTATTAATAAAAAATATAAAGAAAATACTTAAGTTAAATGAGAATTTAAAATTTTCAGGCCACGATTATCTCCTGTCCATCTCTATCCAAGATAGATCTCTATAATATTCAATCTAAATTAATTCATCGATATATTGATGATTAAAAAATAATAAATCAAAAAATATTAAAAAAAAAGTATTATTGACCGCAATGACCAGCCCGCACGCCAACCCATTAAACAATTGAATTAATTAAATATTATAAAAGTATGGAAATATTGAATTCAAGGCGGCTCTCATAATCTTGTTTTGACCTACTCCGAAGCTGCCTGTGCCATTGTTTTCATCTTTTAAAGGGTATAAAGTAAGTTTTACTCCTTAAATTTTGTATATATTTTTAATTTGGCCCCTAAACTTTTTGGTTTGGATGAACTTGGACTTATATATATATATTATATATATATATATATATATATATATATATATATATATATATATATATATATATATATATATATGACATTTTATTAAATATAGACGCAATATTTTATGTTAAGGAGATAAACTTCTAAAATTTTAATAGGTAAAACTAGATTATCAATAGAAAAAAAAAAAAATCTATAATATATAATATATAATAATTTAGAATTTTTAGGGTACGTGACTGCCCCTTTGAGTTCATCCCTGATTTTAATGATGTAAGATCTTGATAGTATGTCGCCTATCACAATTTCAAATCACCATATAGTTAAAAGCATAGGAAATTTAATAAATTCAAGGATTAATGTGAATCAAACAAAAATTTAAGGATTAAATTGAGGATAAAATTCAAAGTTTAAAGACTAAAAAGTTGCTTTATCCATTTCTAAATTCTAATATCACTTGGCCGGCCAGCCGGCCAGCCAATACTTTTAGTTTTTCTAGACTTTTACCGTTGACAAATGACCTTTGACGGAAAAAGTCTAACATTCACTATTGTCTTGTTGAACCCAATTGAAGGGTTTTAAAATTGCGGTCGCGGTTGCGTTTTCGATTATTTCGAGTTTATCGTGATTGTTGTCATCGCTGGCGATAGTGCGAATGTAACGGATAACTCAGACGGCGCGAAACCGATATATCACGGACGAAATCACGTTTTCACGTAAGGTTTTTAAACCCCGATTAGGATATCAAAAAATCCCAACTGTCATCTAACCCTAAAATCTATAAACCTGGGAGAATTATCTCAAGAACGACGCGGCAAAGAAAGGAAGGAGCAAGCTTAAAAGAAAACACTTCTTGATTTGATTTCCCTTTCCTTTTATTTTTAGTCTTGAATCCTCACTCAGAGAGATTTCTTGCTCGCTGCCCCAAGGTTGGGGGTGTTCAGCGGTTCAAGTTTCTTGTCGAAAAGGTATTTATTTCTTGAGCTTCATATTCAACATGGGAGGGGTTTGGATCTTCATGAGCTTTCTTGCCTTGTCTTCTGCCGTGCCCTTGATTTGGCTCCTTTTTTTGGGGTAAATTCATGTTACTGTATTTATTCTCAGTATTAAGCCTGTTCATAAAATAACTCGAGGCATGCTATAATTTGCAACTAAATCTAATCTAGCTAATTATAACTACACTAGCTGAAAACAAGTTTCCCCACTTTAAATTTTAAGTTAATTCTGATGAGGAGGGCCTGCTTTATACCACTTTACCTTGTCGATTCCTTATTGCCACTGTTATGGATAAACTTTTTTAAGCTTATTATGGATGAGCATGCCAGAGTATGAGATGGTTACTTGTTCTATTCTTGCATCTTTGCTTGGAGGTGTGAATGCAATAATGTGAAAGCAATTACCTTAATTAAGCTTTTTGTTAGAAAATGGCTGTTATGCCTCAAGTTATTAGCAGGTGATTGCTTGATTAATTTGGCTATGTATTATTTTAGAAACTCTGCTAGGACACCTGCATTTGGGTTTCCTTCATTCGTGCTTTAATGGTTTTTGTCTGGGTTTTCACATGGAATTAAATTTACTCTTTGCTCTTTATACATCATTACATGATTTATCTGATCCAATGCTTGAAAGTAAAATTTTCTTTTTTGAGCGCATTTTGATGAAAGGGAGTATTCTAGGGCTATCTTTAAAGGTATATTTAACCTTAATTTTTTTCTCATAAAACTAGAACAAGTTTTATTTCCTTCAACATATCTAGCTAAGTTATCATGAATGCAACATTGATGGTTGGATGCTTGACAATGTTGTGTTAATGATAAGGTATAACCAAAGTTGTTGAATGTTGAATTTTTGGAGTTAAAGGTGTGGTCAGGGGTTATGTTTTGATCAATATTTTTCATTGCATTACATTTAGGCTTAATACAAAAATAAGTGTCTAAACTATACATTGAAAAACGTTGTAGTGTCTAAATATTTTTTTCGTTAAAAATAGGTGTCTAACATTTTCTCTGTTACCATTTTAGGTGCCGGATGTTAATCGCCGTTAAAAATATCCGTTAAGCGACGCGTGTCACGTTTTAATAATTTTGAATTTTTTTATTTAAAATAAGAAATAAAAAATATATTTTAAGAAAAACCTTAACTTTTTTCAAATCTTAAAAAAAACTCAAAACTTTTAAAACTTTAATTTTAATCTCGTTGCTACCGACGGCCGCCACCAACACTGTTGATGGTCGTGGGTGGTGGTGGAAAAGAATTAAAATTAAGGTTTTAAGCTTTTGCTAACGAGCTCCTTGTTTATGACCAGAAGAAGAAGCTTCAAAGCCGACAGAAGAAACTGAAAGCATATGACCTTTCTTCCCTGTCAGAGTTTCTCCCTGAGTTGAAAGCTTCTAAACAACCTAACCCTGCCAATGGTTTCAAGCTCAAATTGCAAATCCGGGCAACAACTAATGTGCGTGTTTCGATTCCATCATGTTTGATTATACCTTGCATTAACTAAATGATATTAGTGGATGAATTCTTATCAGATTAAAAGAAGGAAAACAGTTGAGTGCAGTTCTCGAGCATCCTGCTTTCCAAGACGATCCACTATCTGCCATTCATCAACACGTCTGGATCACAATCAATGGATATCTAGGTAGCTCGGTTTTCCTTCATCGGTTTTCCCTCAAATTTAGTTATTCTATTACAGTCAATGGATCTCTAAGTACCCTTTCCTTTTGGGGTTTACAATGCCTTCTCATCAACGTAATTCATATTAAATGCTAAATGAAAATTGGTGAAATGTTGATGAACTATCTCATTGCAACATGATCATGTTCAAAATGAACCAACAGTGTATTTAAACAGAAAGCTATATATAATCGACAGCTAGAAGTACAAGAAACGCCAAGAGAATCAACTTTTAGAGGCGGATTGAAAGATGAAAATAGCAGTCAAAACACCAACCAATGCAGTCACGGCCAAGGCCACCGTAGGTAAAGGTGTTGTGAGGCCAAAATTCTGCAGAGAACCAAGATATAAACTTGTAAAAACATGGTAGTTAAAACATGAATTAGAAACCAAAATGGCACAATGGGTACCTCCAAAAGTCCCTTGCCAGTGGATATTTCAACGGTAATGGCTACTGCAAAACCAACCATGGCGAGCCTGCCTAGCCATACATCCAAGCTGTTGCCTTTCTGGGTGCTTTGCTCACATTTGATGGAGAATGGTGTTGCTTTGCACGCAGGCTTTCTTTGGTGAAATGGCCCCCTTATCACTGCAAGCAAAAAGCAACCATTTTATCCACCAAACAGTGCATAAAATGGTGAAGACTAGGGACTGAAAATGACCAAATCCATGAAGATTAGCATTAGAAAAACTCAAAATTGCTTACGTAGAGGGGAACCAGTGGCAAAAATGGAGCCCGTTCGTGAAAAACTGGAAATGGGTAAGCGAGAAATTTTGTGGGTTGTTGGCGAGCTTATAGGGCAGGCATCTGCAACACAAGAAATTGGAATAAAGAGTTATTAATAAGCAAAAATATCAAAGAGTCAACGATTGAGAAGGGTACCGTGAATGGAAAGAGAAAGAGAAGCTGAGATTTGAGCTAAGGCCATGTTTTAGGAGAAAGCTTTGGTGCTTTGTGTCCCAGGAGAGAATGGTAAACACAAACTCCGCCTCTAATCTTTTCTTTGTGGAACACTGATGGCAATTGAAAGAGGACCAGACATATTTGAGATATGGAAGCTGACCACGTGTCATGTTTAAATATTACTTCAGTTTTAAAAATAATTTCTTCTTTTTATTTCCACTCTCCTTGCTGTCTCTTCCACACCCACTTGAGTATTGGCAATAGCAGTGCCCTTATTATCATCGTCCCTGATGTATCTCCTGAGATGAGTGAAAAAGGCAGCATCTTTCGACCCTTCCCCGCTTGCTGACAAAATCCAAGCTTTTTTAATGGCTGCCTTATCAAATGTAAGTCATGTGTTTCGCCCACATATCAATTCAAGTAACGATCTTTCCATTCTCCTTCTGTCTACTCTTTTCCTAGCTTTGGGACTTCCCTTTGTAGAATTAGAGGTCCGAGGTTTCTTCGTGATGGATTTCTTGCTAGAGCTGAGGACAAGGTGAGAGGTCTGCTTCTTCTTTTCCTCTTCATCCAAGTCAACGAGAAGTTCAATCCAATAATGAAAAGCAGATTTAGTTTTTTGTTATGTTTATCCCTATACCATTAATAAAAATCCATACTTTAAAGTACCCATTTTTTGTCATCTTTAATTTCATGAATATAACTACTCCAGTTTCAGGGGTAATTTCAAGATTTTATCTTGGCCATATATGCTTCAGTTTGAATTAAGACAGTAAATGAGTAGCTCATAGCATTCGGTGTAATTTCAAGCTATTACTATTACAAATTACTTTCTTTGCAGATATTTAGAAATAAGATTTGATTTGGTTAGATATATCAACAAAAGCTGTCCTCACAATCTGGAACATGTGATCCCATATGATCAGTTGGTGAAACTAGCTCGATGGATTTTGATGCTTCTTACCAGCTAAAGACCGATTTGTTGAAAGCTGTTCTGGTCTTAACAGCAGCTTTGACAGGGACTCCGATTAATCTATCACGATTCATGAGTTACTGATAACCAGGTTTCTTTTCAGTTTCTTATGCAATCCTTTCCTTGTTGGTTTATTTGTTTCCTTGTCTTTGGCCAATTTTTCTTGTATTATTCGATTATACACTGAAGCCTTTCCTTTAACTTCATAATGCAGGATATTGCTATGACATTGCATTTTTAAATAGGATATGCTGGACCGTGTTTCTCTGCTGTGCCCCGTCTTCTTGTTGCATTATGACCTAGTTTACATTAGCATTTCCCTATAATTTTCTTACTTATATCCAACTTTATACATGATTACTTGTTTAATAATGCTTGTGCCTTGACATTTGATTTTACTTTAGGCTCCTTCACCTGATATAGTTGTTTCAGAGCTGACTCATGCATCTGGAGAAGTCAGTGAGATAGTGTTTTCTTGCTCGGTGCTTGGTGCGATGACCATTCTAGAGATGGTTGACGCCCATCATTCAAGGATTTAATCTGGTTACTGACAACATAACCCCTCGAAAGCTATGGACTCTGATGTGGGTGGTGAGTTGATTTTTGTCTGGTATGGTGTTATTGACTATCTTATCATTGACGGTTTGGCTATGAATCTAGTTGAAAGTTCAATATCACATTGAAGCATGACACCCACCGGGTGAGAAATTTGTATGATAGGTACAGACAATTGATGTGAATGACACCTATAAAGAAGATAGATTCAAAAGAATCTTAATTCCCTTAGTGTCATGGTCTAAACGTAATTTATCTGCTTATGACAGTGTGAAGTCTTAGATGAAATTTTGTGTTAGCTTTCTCTGTTTTGAATATAGATCAACGATGATTTCTATTTCTTGCATCAATATCTTCATCGGTAGTATCTTCCTTTTGTAATGCTTAATCAAATTAATAACGGTGTCTCACCCGCACCTTGAAAACTGCAGGTTGTTTTCGTGACATTTTTCCTTAGTTCCATCCTTGATAATCTGACATCTACAATAGTCATGGTTTCTTTGTTGCGGAAACTAGTACGCCCTTCGAAATACCGCAGGTATGTTATGCGACGGTGTATTCTGTTTCGGTTCCGAGCTTTGCTTGATAATAATATAAACTGCAGTAGGCTTCTAGGAGCTGTCATCGTGATAGCAGCAAATTCCGGTGGTGCTTGGTCTCCTATTGGTGATGTTACTACTACCATGCTAGATGGTCAAGTATCCACATTCCAGACTATGAAGGTGATTTCGTAATTCTAACACAAACACATTTAGATTAAATTTCGTTCTTTTATGATTTGATTTTATCCTAATATAAATTAAATTCGATTTCATTGCTAACAGGGTTTGTTCATACCTTCGATTGTTTCTCTATCTGTTCTACTGCCGCTTATGTCTAGGTATGTTTCTTGCATGAGCAAGACGATATTACCTTTAACTTGATGAAATATTGACGAGATGATGGGTGTTTTATTTCCTCATTCAGCGAAGTAAACGGGGAAAGGACAAGCTCTCCCATTGTTTTTGCATCTGAACAAATGGCTCCGGGAGGACAACTTGTTTTCTTTGTGGGAATCGATGCTTTGATTTTTGTTCCGGTGTTCAAGGCCTTTAACTGGTTTGCCCCCTTTTATGGGCATTTTGTTTGGCCTCGGAGTTCTTTGGATTCTGACCGATGCTATTCTTTACGTCATTTGTTGTATATTTGATATATCTGAGTTGTACTTCTCGCCTAGAAGCAGCAGGTCTTCTTCGGCAGTTGGCGAATTACTTCGACGCTCATATTCCTAATGTTGAACTGATTCCAAGTGCAATAGGAGTTATGTCAGCAATTATTGACGATGTCCCACTCATCGCAGCAATAATGGGAATGTATGATCTCACCTCGTTCTCCCAGGATTCAGAGTTTTGGCAACTTGTTGCCTATTGTGCTGGTACCGGCGGATCCCTGCTAGTTATCGGGTCTGCAGCGGGAGTTGCATATGAATGGAAAAAGTCGATTTCTTTTGGTATTTCCGGAAGGTAATTCCCACACTTGGTTAAGGAAAACAAGAAACAAAAAAGATGATCGGTTTGCTTTGAAGATTTGTTTTGTTGCAGGTGAGCGGTTTTGCTTTTGCCGGTTATGCTGCCGGTATCGCTGCCTATTTAGCGGTTAATAACATTCACATTTCCTTACCCTCAACCTTAGCTCAGGTTCATTTCTTTCTGGTTCATAAATTTTACAACCATATTTACAATTCAAGAAAATTTGAGGGAATAAAAGGTTTAGATAGTCGAAGCCGTCTCGTGTATCGTCCTCAGACATTACCACCATTCTTGTCCGAGACGTAAAGACCGTGAATTATGTTGATAGTATTGTATGCATGCGAAGAGTGAAGGGACTTCACTGATCATCTTTAACAATTCTTCGAAATTGAAATGGTCTCAGCTCTGTTAGCACTGGCAGGGAAGCGAAGCAGCGTCCTCAAATGACCGAGCCCATGAACCTTTGGTGCTCCTATGGCACCGGCGCATAAGGATCGTGAGCTTTAGCTACATGGCGAGTTCCAAGTTCGAACACCAAAAGAGACAATTTATAATTAGCTAAACAAATTAGTAAATCATTTTAACCTGAACATTTATAATTAGTAAAGAATTATGACTAATGATATCATATTTTTATCATGCACGGACTTCGTCAACCTAATAATAATTTTAATAATATTTATTATTTATCATATTAGTGTTGGCGTTGGATGTAACAATAAGACATGAAAATACAAAATAATTTAGATTTAAAAATATATTTTAAAATGCTACAAATGAGCTCCGCTTGTTGGCTTGAGTTAAATATAGGGTAAACTAATCTCATATCACTTAACTATGGGTAAATTTTATTTTAATCAATGATCTTTTTTATGGTTGCAAAGGGAGAAGTGACTAGAGATCTCTTTCGACCATTAACGCCGTGTATTTGTCGAGCAGTAGTTGCAGACCAGTTGTTGGTTGTCCAAGGATATCCAAATCGAGCCTACGAGAGCGACCGAGGCGGGCCAGCGAGTCATCAATGACATTCCTCTCACGGCTGATGTAATAGATTCGAACCCTCCACTGACGCTTTAACAGGTGACGGATTCTGCGTACAATCGAAGGTCCATGGTCTTTAGGTGAGCAGTTTAGGATTCTCACCGCTTCAGAACTGTGAACTTCGATCTCAATGCTTCTAGCTCCACTCTCCCATCGAACAATATTCCGAACAAAGCCAGTAATCCATCTTCCTTCACTGTCTCGAATGAGACCACCACCAGCTGCTTCGTCGGTTCTGGAGTTAACCGAACCATCAGTATTTATTCTCAATACTCCAACGTCAGGGGGGCTCCATTGTTGCGGTGCGCACCTCTGATTGAGTCTGTCGAGGGTTTAGGGTTTAAGTGTCATGCTACTTGATTATTTAAGTGTTAACAAGTAAAGTGGTCATGGCGACAAAATTAAAAATTTAATGGTCAAAATTAAATCTACTTAAAGTTAAGTTGTCATGGGTGTAATTTACCCTTAAATTTAATGCCGCTGCTATTAATACCCATCACCAACAAACATCATTGACCTCTCTTCAATGGGGTGGCTCTGTTTCTTCACCATCATTGCAATCTCATGTGTTTCCAGAGGGAAAACGGAGCATCGTCCCACGGCACCGGACCTGGATTTTCTGACACAACACCTCTTGGTCTCAGCCAAGGAGCCGGAGTTCTTGGGTTGGTTAAAGAGGGTCAGAAGGAGAATCCATGAGTACCCGGAGTTGGCTTTTCAAGAACACGAGACTGGTCGACTTATAATGTCCGAATTGGACATGCTCGGGATCGACTACACATGGCCTGTTGCTGAGACAGGAATCGTGGCCTCCGTCGGATCTGGGGTTGAGCCCTGGTTCGGTCTTCGAGCTGACATGGACGCCCTTCCTATCCAGGTTTCCTTTTCACTCCTCTTAGTAAACTATCCCACAGAAGGAAAATTTCCAGAGAATGTCTTCTTCTTTATTAATACGTAGATATGGTATAGAACCTATGTTATTTAAAGCTTGATTGAATGCCCGATATGGTATCTGCCTAAAAAATATGTTGGCTTAATTGGTTTTACGTTCTACTGGTAAGTCGTATCCCATCGAACATTGTCGACGGTTCATAGAACAGACAACGTCTCGAGATTCAAGCCCCGAGCGCAAATGTTTTAACGTCCGACTTAATATTTTGAAGGAAATGGTGGAGTGGGAGCATAAGAGTAAGAACAAAGGAAAGATGCATGCTTGTGGGCACGATGTTCATGTGACGATGCTGCTAGGAGCAGCCAAGTTACTTCAGCGCAGGCGACATGATTTGAAGGGCACGGTTAAGCTTGTTTTTCAACCCGGGGAAGAGTCTTATGCCGGTGCTTATCATATGATTAAAAACGGTGCAGTCGATAATGTCCGGGCCATATTCGGCTTACACATCTCACCGAAATTGCCCACAGGAACTGTCGGGTCCAGACCCGGCCCTCTACTTGCTGGCTCAGCCAGGTTTCAAGTTGAAATCCAAGGGAAATCAGGGCATGCAGCTCAGCCTCATACGACTAGAGATCCGGTACTTGCTGCATCGTTTGCTATCCTTGCCCTCCAACAGCTAATTTCTCGAGAGATGAATCCTCTCGACCCCTATGTAAAAGCTCTCTCCACATTCATTTATTTTCATTCACAATATTCGAAAATCGATATCCGACATTATCCATTTTCACCGAACCACAGGTTGTCTCGATAGGGTTCGTTCAAGCCGGTCATGCCGCAAATGTAATCCCGGAAACAGCAACTTTTGGAGGCACATTTCGGAGCATGACCAATGAAGGCTTGTCTTATCTGCAACAGAGGATCAAACAGGTCAGTATTGTGTTTTTAAGGACAAATTTGAATTTATAGTGTTGATGTTTATGTACTTACAGGTGATCGAGGCTCAAGCGACAGTACATCGATGTACCGCAACCATAGACTTCTTTGAGGAAAAAATGAGACCTTATCCTGTAACCATCAACGATGAATCGATGTATGAACACGCGAAAAGGTCGGGGAATCTGTGGTTGGAAAATCTAATGTAGTACTGATTCCGACGACGATGGGAGCAGAAGATTTCAGCTTCTATGCAAATCAAATGGCGTCTGCCTTCTTCATGATAGGGACGAAAAACGAAACACGAAAATCGAACTACGGACTGCACTCACCGTACTTGATTATTGACGAAGATGTTCTTCCCATTGGAGCAGCCTTCCATGCTGCAGTAGCCATATCTTACTTGGATAATCATGGTGTCTTTAAAGCTCAATAAGTTACTATTGTTAGGACGAAGACTCATAGAAGTGTAAACGACGGACCAAAATGAACAATAAATCTCGAACATTAATTATAAAATAAAGGGTTAACTATACCACATATCCTCAAACTAGTGTCATCATTTTAAATTTGTCCCTAAACATAGAATGAAAATTATATTTTAGAGATGAAATTAAAATATTTAAAAGTTTAAAGATCAAAAATCATAATTTAAAGATTAAAGTAAAATATTAAAAAAATTCACTGACTAATTTAAAATCAAAATCAAAATTCAAAGAAATGTAATATAATTAACTTTAAAATAAATAAATAACATAATTACTATTTTGAATAGATAAAAATAATTACTTATTTGAAATTAATAGATAAATATTTCATTAACCTATTATAATTAAATATTTTTTTTCTTGTTGCCCTCTTGGTTTCCTATAGCTTTATCCCGACTAATTCGAATTCATATGCTGGTTTTGATGGGTGAGTCTCTCAACGGAGAGTTTTTGTATACACTAAGATTCGAACTCGAAATTTACTCAAACAATATCAAATTGTTTACCACTTAAACTAACTCCGTTGATTATAATTAAATAATTTTGTTTGTTGTATGTACTTTTATTTCTACTGTTATATAATTTATGTTTTTAATAATATTTAATTAAAACCACACCTTAACGTAACAACCATATCATAAAAGATTTTAAAGTCATTGTAGTATTATAACAATATATGTAACTTTAAAATATTATAATTTTTATAAAATAAATTGCATCCCATCAATATATTACATAAAATTTACAACATACATCATAATCATAATTTGATAATATGATTCCATTTTTTTTTTTTTTTGTAACTTAATGATATGAAATGATTTATTGTGTTTGAGTCCGGATATAATATGGACTAATGTAGGAATAGTAGTCAAACACAGGGACTAAAGTGAACCGAAATACATATTTAGGGTAAAGAAACCTGGGGACTAATATGAGAAAAGTAGCCCAACTCAGGGACTAGATGAATCTTTATCCCTATCGATTTAAACAAATGTCACTGGCACTTCACGACCGTGTCACCGGTACTGCGTACACACCGTCTAATCATCATGCAAATGCTATTGGTGCCGGCAACTCGCTCCGGCTTTTCTGTGGTGGCGGCGAGGCCCTTTCCTCCCCTCACCGTCGCCAGGCCCCGCTCACTTCTCCTCCTCCAAATTCTCTCTCTTCACTGGAAACTACAAACCGAAGCAACCATTCTCCCCGCTAGCTTCTTGGAATCTTCTCGATGTTAAAAAATCTAAGCTTCTTTTGAGCAGGGTGTCTTCTTCCTCAGTTTCTTCTCCTAGTTTTACCTCCCCTAATGATGATGCTGACAAGGCAAAGCTCGCTCAGGTATTCCCTCACTCTCTTTATCTTAATTTCAGACTCTCCCTTTTTCAATCGATTCAAAAACTTCATTGGGTTTGATTTATTTGTTGCTGAAGTTTCAAGGGTTTCTGCTCTTTGGTTTAGCTTGGTCAATTTTTTTCTGATATTATCTTCTGGGTAGTAAATAAATCTTGAAAAGGCAAAAGAAATGCAACCAGAAACCACATTGTTCTTGTAGTCAGTAGCACTAAGACCCAGTAAAAAGCTACGAACATCAGGACTAATAGCATGCTCTGGGTTAATTTTGGATTTTTTTAGGGTGGGGGGTGGCATTAATGGACTGTAAATGAAGGGTCTGTTTGTTTTGAGGATTTGTTAGGATGAGGATTTTGAGTTGAACTGGTGCAGGTTGCGAAGAGGTTAGAGACCACATCGAGGTACTTTAAGCGATTGGGGAATTTAGGGTTTTGGGGGCAGCTAGTTTGCACGGTGGTGTCAGCAGTGATACTTTCGTTCTCGGTTGTGGCTGGGAAAATTACATCGCCTGCTACTTTTTATGCTACCGCTGGTGGAATTATAGCTGCGTTCATATCGGTTTTTTGGTCATTTGGTTATATTCGGCTTTCTGAGAAACTCAAGAGGACTTCTAATGATCCTTCAAAGGTATTGTGAGTTGAACTTATGTTAACAGTTTAAAGTGTTTGATTCATTATTTACAGTGATCCTTCAAAGGGCAAACTTTTTGTTTTGTTTGCTTTTATGTTTATTTATTAGGAGAAAAACTAACATGTTTAAATTGTACCTTGTTCTTAATGTATTCCGCGCATGCACCTAATCGAATTTTGACTATATATTCAGCTATGAATTTAATGTAATTGATGGTCATTTTAAACTCCAGAGTTTGAGAGTTGAAGATGAGCAATCCATTTTAATATATTCCGTGCACGAACCTAATTGTACCTTATTTCCTTGCTTGAATTAGAATTGTAGACATAGTGATCCATTGGAGCTAGATCTAGATTACGCTCACCTATCATGTGTAGGATTATTCAGGAGTTTGAAGGATTAGTTTATGGTTAGGCATGTGGCCAAATTCGGGGCTTATTTTGATCTTTATTAATACTTGTTGCCGCATTCAACTTCTGCTAAAAACTTTTCCCGTGAGTTTCAGGCTCCTCCACGTGCCGATGTTGTGAAAAGCTTGAAAAACGGTATAGTGCTGAATCTTTTAGGAATGGGTGCTGCTATTCTTGGCATGCAAGCAACCGTGGGCTTACTGGTTGCAAAGGCTCTTACCTCTTCAACAACTCCTTATTATCAAGGAATTGCTCCCGGCTCTAGTCCGGTTCTTGCCTTGGATGTATTCTTGGTGCAGGTACTTAATCTACTTTGATCTATAGAATTTAACTGAATTGAGATCCATGTTTTTGAATTTGAGGGTTTAGTAGAAGAAAATAATGGAAGTCGTAAAGCTTAAGTTTACTTGCCAGTGATGCTTCGTAGTGTTTCATGTAAAGAGTTAGACTGACCAGCTAGATTGATAGCAGCTAATCGTGGATTCCTTGAAGAATATGGTTCTCCATGTAAATGCATGTAAATTTAGAGGTGTTTTGATACACGTACTAATGAAAATCAAAGTTTGCTTTTCACCGTGCTTTTCACCGTGCTTTATTTTACTAAAATGTAGGAACATTTATGCTTACTGATCAAACACAAACTTGTAATGGGGAATAACCTTGGTTAGTGCATGGCCTTACATATATCTTGCTCGTGCAGGCATCGGCCAACACCATCCTTTCACATTTTCTGGGGCTGGTGTTCTCGCTCGAACTGTTGCGGTCGGTAACGTTGCCTAATATAGAGACTATTCCAATTCCCAAGATTGCGTAAGTTCTGTCCTTCTCAGTAAATATCATGAACTGAAGCTCTTCTGCTGGAACATGATTTTGTGGCCGAACTGTTGAAATGTAGAATAGTTGAATATGAATTTGCATCTGATGGGTGTTTCACAAGCCATCCTTCGCATTTTTTTGATAAATGCATCTACCAACATGGGGCAACATTCACAAGTTCTCATTATATCCGAAGTCAAACAAAGTCCGACCGTAAATGGTGGTGAAACTCTCCCAGTATTGTTTTTTAATCCACAAGATTTAAACTCGAGATTTTGTTTGAGGGACATCGAACTCTTTACAACTTGACCCCGACAGTCATCGATAACGGAACATTTTATTACCATATTATCTTTTAACATATACTAAGATACTCCTACAGAGTAGAACAAGACACCAATGGAGAAATCTTTGTTTACACCCAAATAAACATGTAAAAACACATCAACAAGAAGTTTACATCTTCCCAGGAGTATAAATTATCAAGGTTGGTTCAACTCCTAAAGATCGATAACTCGAACACCGTCCAAAAACCGAATCTCGTGCCACCCCAGTAACACCTAACCACTGAATACCCTGTAAAAAATACATATGCTTTAAGGCAACAGAGGCAACAGGAAGCAACAAGTGAATCCTACAATTGCTTTAGAAGGGCTGCAGCCATAGAGATGTAAGCAGAAAGCATAGATAAGGAAGAAAATTTACCCTATTGCATCTTCTATTCCGTGTTTGAGGGCAAAGGGATCTTCCTTAATACCGACTCATCGATTTTCATATATTGCTTTTGAATGATTCTGTGTGTTGCATGAAGCTTCTCGTCGATGAAGTGCTGGTACTTATCATATACCACCGGAACCGATAGACTAAGAATAACTCCTACAAAACATCAACAAAATAAGCACGAATGAAAAACGAATAATCCAAACATACAAGGTCTCATAAAACTCACCGATATAGACCAGAGTGAGGAACTTGAAGAGAGTACCGATGTATGACACCAACCACAAGCCGACAGCGACCTACACAGCGGATACATTAACAAACTTGTCGAGAATAGACAATACATGTACTAACAGAAAGGCAAAGGTCAACCTTAAGAAAAGATTTCAAATCTCTACCGATTGCAATATCATGTGCAATAGCTAATGTATGATTGATCCATAGGTGTAATTCATCAGCAACCACTCCAACAGTCTGCTCAGAGATCTCTAAATCAGGAAGGGTCGGTAAAGGTCTACATTATAAAGGAGAACAAACATGTTAGTTCATCAACTACTTGTGCTTTGAGTCTTTGGTTGACACTTATTCCGAGTTCCATCATCGGACAACTCCCGCCCCTACCCTTTATCGAAAAAGAAGAAAGAAATCCCAAACATGAATGCAGTGGAATACATGAAAAGTTACCAGAACAAGGAGAATGAGGAAGGTTAAAAATGGGGCAAACCTGTTGAGAAGGGAAGCAGATTTGGCCCAGAGGAAGAGAATAACAAGAAGGAGCAATAGTACATTGGCCACGAAAGACAAGAAATTATAACCTGCTCTTTCGAAAAGGTACCACAGCATCGTTGATGAGGACAGCAGCATCAAAGCTCCGCTGCATGAGTTTCTCCACAACAGCACATCGGCAACTACCAACAACCACAGTGCATAAATAAAATCAAACCTCGAAAACCAAATAATGCTTTGCTGAATATATATATATATATATATAGAGAGAGAGAGAGAGAGAGGAGACCCATGCCACCACCAAGAACTTGATGAACTGATACGCGAGGAGTAAGGTGGGAATTCGCCATGGGAGATGGCTGGTTTAGTTTCTTCTGCAATTGATTTTTCTAGAGAGGAAAGAAAGGAAACGGACATTGTAATCACCGACATGATTGTTATTGTAATATCTCGATTCTTATCCACGGGTTTGAAAGGTTTGAGTTGTTGGTAGACATAGTAACCATATAAAAACTCTTAAATGAAAGAAAAATCATGCAGAGCACATATAAAATGGTTTGATCACTCGATCATGTATAGCACGTATCCATCAAACTATTCAAAAAAAACTTCATGTATAGCACGTATAAATTCTGGATATTTGTAAGGGAAGGACTTGAAAACAATCAGTGTTCTTGCCTTGAAATAAAGTCGAAGATAATATGAACTCTTTTAAGACTTAATTTTGGTTAAGATGCAGATGTATTCATCCATCAAAACAACAATCGTTTTTTACAGGCATCATACACCAAATACGCATACAGTATCACTCATCCCTTCTTCAAACTTGTAATGATAAAAAAATAGCTGAATCATCGACTGATTCGATGTCGGCATCAAACATTAGCTTCTCAACAGTTCTCACCAGAAATAGCGACAATTCATGTGAAGAAAAGTTCATAAGAAAACAAAGGTAGATTCAAGAGTGGGCAAAGGTTATACCAAACTAATGTCATCATTAAAGTAGTATTCAGCGACCCTTTACTCTCGAAACAGATATCTTCCTGTTTTTTTATATAGATTTGTCATGGATTCTCATGACCTAGAACATTATTCAAGTAGTAAGTATACTTCTTAAGCCAACAAAATTCCAAAGTACACAACAGCATCAGATGAATTCACTTGATATGTTTTTGGTGTCAGAAATCAATTTAATATTTCAAAACCTTTTTTTTTTCCAAGTTACATTTCCCTTGGGCCTCATGCCTTCACTTCTAGTTGTTGGTATTTCTAGTTCCTTCAAATCGGAGGCAACGTTCACAAGATGAAGGTTGAAGCATGAATATCAAGCAAATGTTTGTTCATTGTGCTGCTGCTTCATCATGTTCAGAGTCAGCTTCACCGTCAGAAGACTCTTCCTTCTTTTTCTCTCCTCCCTCAGCACTCGTTTTCATCTTCTTCTCCATCTTCCTTTGCTTTTTCTTTTGGCGTTTCAGGCGTTTCTTTGCTGTCCGTTCCTCACCAGCTTTCAATCTTTCTTCCCTTCTCATGTTAAACTCAGCTATTTCCTTCCTTTTCTGGTAGTCAACATCCATTCTCGCAAGCCTGTCTTGCTCTTTTCGTCTCATTTGGCGATACTATTGCAACAGACAAAAAACTTCTTTTGAGGCCAGGAAATAAACGAACACTAGAAGACTAGGAACTCATCTAATATACCCAGATTGTCCAAACAATTATAGGCCATACGCTTAATACTACTTGAGAACATGCATATACTTTATGACATTATCATATGCAGCACGAATCTAAAAGCAACAAAATAAGTTCCATTATAAACCGAAACGATGATTCGGTGTTACGGAAATTTACGGACTTGGGTGACTAAATTTTAGGCCGAATCAACAATACTATATTCAATTTCTCTTTTTTGGATATTTTTCTATAGTATAGTGGAGTTCACAGACTGAGTAAAAGGGAAAGGGTCAAATATACAGAGATTAAAATCCTAAATCTGTTGAATGCTACTCTTAAGGACTAAAAACCAACATTTCCATAAACTCTAAAGATACCTAGGACAAACCGGTTAACAACCAATTAAATTTTGCACACGAAATAACCATTTAATCAGCCAATTTACGAACAGAGCAGGTAACAGTTAAGATTTAGCAGGCAAACCATAAAAAAGCAAAAAAAAAAAAAAAAAACAAATTGAGAGTAGAGAGCTAGAGTTGATTAGAAAAACCTGGTGGAAATCACCGGACCCGGAACCAGCAGAACTTCCGGAGGTATTGTTAACACGGACGGGAACATTCTCTATAATGCGGCGGAGCTTCACCTCCAAATCCTCTTCCTCCTCCTTGAACACCGGTTTCTCGTACTCCACAATCGCCGTCGATGCAGTCAGTGGAGGTCGAGGCGGAAGACCTGATTTCGGCTCGGCTACCGCCAACTGGGTCTCGCCGTCCTTTGGATAGCCCGTCGACATTACGTGGCAAAACCCTAACAATTTTGGATTTGGTGTTTCTTGGCAGAATTGTGATTTCTTCGTCTCTATTTTATTCAAGGCAACGGTTCGAGGTTTTTTTCAATAATAATAATAATAATAAGTTAAATTACACGAATAATCCCTTATATTTTCGATAACAAAAATAGAGGCCTTCAATAATAATAAGCGCCTAAAAATTAAAATATATATATATATATATATATACACTTTAAATATATCATTGATTGGGCTTATTATAGGCCTTCTATTATTTTGGGCTATTTGATGGATTGTTAAATTTCTACAAACCGAAAACATAAAGAGTCCATTACATTTAAAGAAAATAAAAAAGCTTAATCATCTGGTTAAATTTTGCTTTTGGTCCTTATACTATATTCATATTTACTGTTTAGTTCTACAATGTTAATTTGATAAACTTAATCCTCTTATTTTTATAATGTTGTTAATTAATTTAGAAAGGTCAACTTATGTTAAATGAAAGTTTAAGGGTTGAATCTCAAATCAAATGTAATAGAAAGAGTAAAACCATTAATTTACCAAACCATTTCTTCTCATAAAACAAATGGTATTACGTTTTTATGGTATATTAAAAATAGAAATAGTCAACCTTGATTCCACAAATTTAAAAACTGGGCTAAGATTCAGGATGGCAAACGGATATAATTTTGTGGATTTCATATCGTATTCGTTCTAATTGGGGCGGTGATGGATATAATTTTAGTGGGTAGTGGACGGGTTTATATTTAAAAAGTGGTACCCGTTGCGGGTAGTGGGCGAGTGATGAGTTTGAGACCTTACCTGCCCCGTATCCGCCTGCCCTACATCCGTCAGCCCACTAAATATCCATTAAATTTTGGACTATTATGAATTTAGGTATAATTTTAGAGACTAATTTATAAATATTAATATTGTATAAGATATAACTTATAATTTAACCAAATATTAAGTATAATTTTAGAGACTAATATTATGTTTTTTAATGGACGTATTTGTTTTATATTTGTTGCTTATGTATAACTTAAGGTTGCTGTTAGGCATATCTAGCCGAGTACGTCTCCAATTTAGTAGTGGGTGTTGGGAATGGTGGTGGATTTAAAAATATTCGGTGGGTATGGGGATAGAGGAGAGGTATCCATATCCAACCCGCCCGTACCCGCCCGTTTACCATCCTAACAAAGATCAGCTGATCAAGGTCTCGGTTTGCAGCTCTTGAGGAAATTCAAGAAACGGACAAGTTTGTTCCCAGCCAATTAATCGATGCACCTGTCGCGGAAATTCAAAGTAGAGGAACTACTCCTGTTGGAATTGAGAATACTAAGATAAATTCTCGATTTTGAGTTCAGTAGGCAAGGAGCGACTCGACAACAAGCTAGGGATAAGAATGATGAAACCAGTAGAGTCTCATTGACCCCGCTTCACTTGAACAATAATGCAGCAGTGGTTTCAACAGGAAAGGTTATTTCCGCTACATCTTCTATAAGAAAGGATAGACATGTTGCAGTTCATGTCGTTGAAAACGACGAAAATCAATTGCCACGGGATCAAAATATACGAATTTTACAAAGAACTTCTAGAGATGCTCTTCCGAAAAATGTGAACAAAGGGCTGGCGGGAGTTAAAAGGGCTGACACGGAAGGGATTAAAAACGTAGAAAAAAGAGGAACGGGGTTCAAGCAAACCAGTTCTAGCGGAGTGGATGTCGGCAATGACATCTGAGTTAAACCAAGCTGAGCATTCTGTTGCGCTTTCGGGTCTAGACCAGGGGCAGAATCTGGGGGGCTCTTCGGAGCTGGTTCAATGGCGTGAAAACACCATGTTCGATCAGTTAGAGTCTGCTGAAATGCAGGTTTAATCTTGCTCTCTTTTTCATTTCTTTTTAATGACTAGGATCATTTTTTGGAATGCCCAGGGTGCTCGAGACCTTGTTTTTAACCGATACTTTAAGGTATTAGTGGATCACCAAATACCGGATATGGTAGCTTTGTTGGAACCCCGAATTAGCGAGAAAGGTGCTGATGATTTTAGTCGGAAGTCTGGCTTTGAGTTCTCTTACAGGATTGAGGCGATGGGTTTTTCAGGCGGTATTTGGTTGCTTTGGAGAAATTCTGTCAAGTTCACTATTCTTGCTGTCTCTCGGCAATAAATTCATGGGATATGCTCTTTTCCGGATGGGGGTGGTAGCTTCTTCATTACCTTTGTCTATGCGAGCCCTGTTGGTGGAATTCAAGGTCGTTTATGGAATCAATTGAAAGCCTTGGAACCTGATGGTAATTGATAATGGGTTACCGGGGGAGTTTAATGTTATTGGTAGCCATGTGGAGCGACAAGGGGGTCCCAGCGCCGTAGTGGTACGAGATACACTAGGAAACGGGGGTCTCTATCCCAGCGCTTGGATAGATGCATTTGTAATGAATTTTGGTATAATCATTTCAGTAAATCGGAGGTGCTTCACTTTCAAAATTTGGGTTCAGATCATCGTCCTCTTTTACTTGATTTGGGGATTAGTAAACCGGGTGTTCGGAATCGGCCTTTCTGCTACATTGATGCTTGGAGCGAACATTCAGATTTTACTAATATGTTGAGTGCGACTTCGAAGAGCGATAAAAACATTCATGAAGATATCATGGAATTCCGAGCTAAAAGCCGACAATGGAATAAGGATGTTTGTGGACACATTGGTAAACGGAAATATTTGTTGTTGGCTCGTATCAGAGGCATCGAAAAGTTAATGAGGATTCGAATAATCCGTATATTTTGGAGTTAGAGGAGGCGCTCAAAAAAAGAACTCAGCTTGGTCCTTACTCAATAGGAGTGCTTTTGGCACCAAAAAGCGCGTAGTCGACAATGGTCTGTCGCAAACATAGCAGGATCGTATCTCTTCTTCACCAATGATTTAATGTTGTTTGCTGAGGCTGATATGTCACAGCTTGGTGCAATTAAAGAGGCCCTTGATTGCTTTTGTCAAGATT